TATCCATTTGTATCCAAATAATGTATTACAATGTTTTTATTTGGATTACAATGTTTTTATTTGGATACAAATGGATACATTTGTTGCAACTGCAAGACTTTTTCATATAAAATATAATAGCGGACTGGAATTCTTCTTATTATTCTTCTTCTTTTTCTTCTTCTTTTTATTATTCTTAATTCTTCTTCATATTGCTGTCACATTGTATGGTGTGCTCCCCTGTCTCTGCAAGGGACAGAAGTTATGGGGTTAATGCTGGCTGTAGATGGGACGAAAATCGGCCGATTGCTTTAATGTTGTTAATAACGTCAGCCAATCGAACGACCGATTTTTCATTTTTTTTTTTAAATCGGCCGATTTTTAGACCCGTCTATGGCCTGCTTTAGGCTGGCCATACATGACTTGAATATTGTCTGATCAGCCAAAGTTTGAAGTGTTGGCCCTGACCATGCACCAGCAAAATATTGTAATGTCGGCCATACATGGGTCGAAATTCGACCGATTTTTCATCCGAAAAATCGGACCTAAGAATAATTTTTCGATTTTCGCTCTGTTAGTGGGTCAATGGCACTGGCCGATTTTCATGGTTCCTCCCATTTTCGGTGATCGGGCATGTTGGAAAATTTGTGAAAAACGACCGATTTTTGACTCAATGCTGGTCAAATCATACGATCATTTTTCCAAAAAGAATATGTGCATGAGCCGTGACCTGGAAGGAACAGAAGTTTCACCTGTTATATGGGGTGAACTTTATGACTTGGTTGGCCGATTTTCAAAAATCATTGATGGCACCATCGAATTACTGAGCGAACGACGTTTTTGATTTTCAGACGAAAAATCATTCGGAATTCTACCCATGTATGGCCTGCATAACTCTGGACAAATCAAGAACCCCCCACCCCCCCCCCATTAAACTGATTGCTGTTATGAAAAAATGCCATTTTTACACATCTAAAATCGCAGTCATGCGACACTCACAGTATCTTCTCTCCTCGTTATGTCTTCGGGTGTGGCTGCATGACATGCAATGGACAACTCTTTTTTGGCTGTCCAGTGTTAGGGTCCTTTTAGAATCCAAAGGAGGAGTGATTGTTGGAACTGTTGGAGAACTGGACAGCATGGCCACATCTGCAGTGCTGTGGTCCCCGCTGTGGTCATTAGTGGTCCCCGCATCCCGAAATGGCACTGGCGATGGACCCAGAGGGCAGACTTAGGTGAGTATACCTTGCTTCACAATACAATTGAAAATAAATGTGCAGCAAGATCAGTTTAAGAGGGTGGGTGTGCGTGAACAGGGGCTGGTGGTGGTAGTGGGTTAATAATTTTGACTTGAGTTGGACTTTAAAGAGGTAATAAAAAATGTAATATACTGCAGCTTATTATTAGATGTGGTGGCTGCATTCTTTTTTGTTTTTTCCTCCTCTGTTTTCACCTGGTGACCTGGCCAGTAACACACCTCCTGTATTAGAGTGCCCCACTCAGGATGGAGGAGCACAGGGGGCACAACAGACAGCAGCATTGTTAGTCTGGGGGAGGGGAGTGTTAGTTGTACAAGCAGATTTGGATGCACTAATTGAAGCTGAAGTCCAGCTGACACTTTATAAGCAGTTACAGTAAACTGTTTTTTTCCTTTTAGGATTGAAGGTTGATTGTTGTAAGCACCCTGTCAGTAGTAAATGTTTTTGTCTCAACCCTGTAACTGTTACATCTGCAGGACAGCTTTTTTATATTGAAAGACATCAGACTTAGTGGATGGATCACCAGGTGAGAATAAAAGAGAAGAAAAAAGTTCAAAAAAGAACCGAATGCAGTCACCACATCTTAGAAATGGTAAGCTGCAATTTAATAAAGGTTTGCTTTTGGGTTAAATATTGCTTTAAGTGTTATAATGAATAGACAAGTAACAGAATAAAATGTGCATTTTTGTCTCAAATACAATATATGTTAAAAGTACCAGCAGGCAAAAACTCAAATAAATTGTATTTTTTCCATTCTTTTTTACTCTAAAATGGAAAGCAGTATGATTAAATGAGCAGATTGTTTTGGTCTATAAATGGTCAACATTTAGTATTTCTAGTGATTAAAGCTGAAGCCTAATCTGTTTATGTTTCCTTCTTGATAATGTTTTTTAAATAAAACCTTTTTAATTTCATTACATACCTTATTTTGGTGAACCCAGTGTTTTATCACTTTGTCTCTGTGCTTTTCTATGAAGTTTAGGCAGATCATGTCTGGTGGGAGAGGGCAGCAGGGTGTGGTACATAGCTTCCTGAAAACATCACAGCCCCCTGCCTCAGTACTCCTCCTAAGAGTCCTAAGTCTGATGTCAGCAGTGGGCTGGCTCCTGGGAGGAGTTGTGCAAATATCAAAATTCCTTAATGGGTGTGTAATGGAACCAACCCAGACTGCGCTTGAGTACTTCAGTCTGAACACTGACAACAGACACCACAGCTGACCATACAAGATTAGACGACACCAGTCTTGAAGTAAACCAGGAGGCAGACTACTTTATTTGAACACAGATACAAGATATATAAGCTCAGGGGACAACCCCCCCTCCCTGCATAATGACACAGGGCGAGGCAACCAACATTTAGTAACAAGAGACACACAGGTATTCAAACTTCACACCAGCAGACAGTCCTATCAAGAGGGAGGGCTGCTGAAGACCCCCCCCCCCCCCCACTAAGCTAATACACATATACACATACACACATACATCCCATAATAGTTTGCTCCCAAGCAAGACAAACAATAGAACAATGGGATGCAGCCACATAACATTAAATAATCAACCCCCCACCCCACCTATACATGTCTAGACAATATTAGGACAGATCACCATTTACCCCTAACAGGCACAGGGTGATTTACACATAAGAGGGATATGGGGAGCTGAGACAGGGGTCTCCCCACCTCTCTAAAGTGAGCTGGGTTCCATGTGCCCCCCACTCAAAGTGACTGCCGTCGCAGGGTGGATGTCAGTATTGAGGAGTAGGTATTCCTAGGTAGGCTGTATTTTAATGCAGACTGCCCTAGGTAACACTTAGCATCCATGGTGATCTTAGGTGCCTCTTAGATAATGCTGAGACTCCATGATTGAGGAAACCAAAATCCAATTAATGAAAGCGGCAGACCAGGGACAGTCAGACTGGGAAAAAAGTACTAGATGATGCTGGATGTCATTCAGGCAGGAAATCAGGTGAGCTGTATCTGACCTGCTGCAGTTTTTAATACACACTGCTTGAGGCATACATTTTGCATCTGATTGCCTGACTACTTATTCTCAAGGCCCTGAAATTCCAAGACAGTGAAAACATCCACAAAATGACTAGATTTTGCAAAGCAGACTCTCCAATGTGTTTCCTAAGAGGCATGGTGAGTTTTTGAAAAATCATATTTTTTTTTGCCACAGGTTTTTGAAAATGAAAAATGTTTTTTTACACACAGCTGACAATTAATAAAATATTTCTAACACACAGTATGAGTATACTTAGAATTACACCCCCAAAGCACATTCTGCTACTCCTCCTCAGTGCATGGACACCACGTGTATGATACTTTTGTTCTTATGCAACCTAGCCACATAGGCCCAAAATCCAAGGAGCACCTTCAGTTTTTTAAGGGGCATAAACTACATTTTTAATTTCCTGACTACCTATCACATTTCCTGTGGCCCTGGGGTTTCAAGACAGTAGAAAAACACCCACAAAATAACCACATTTTGGAAAGTAAACACCCCAAGGCATTTTTAAGAGGCATAGTGATTCTTTAAATATTTCATTTTTTGCCACAAATTTTTAGAAAATGCAAAAAAAACCAAAAAAGTATTCACAAAATTGTAAAATTTAATAAGATACAGTATTTCCCACAGAAAGTGGTCTGGCAATGCTGGCACTAGTGTGGCAATGATCAGAAACACTGTTGATGGTTTAGATTGGTCAGGGTGACACTGGGAATGGTGTTTGGCAGTGATCAGGAACACAGTTGCTGGCATACACTGGTCTGGTGACACTGTACTGGTGTGGTGGTGATCAGGAACACTGTTGCTGGCTTACACTGGTCTGGTGACACTGTACTTGTGTGACGGTGATCAGGAACACTGTTGCTGACTTACATGTGTCTGGAGACACTGTATAGGTGTGGCAGTGATCAGGAACACTGTTGCTGACTTACACTGGTCTGGTGACACTGTACTGGTGTGGCAGTGATCAGGAACACTGTTCCTGGCTTACACTGGTCTGGTAGAGTCCTCCTGTAAGGGGCCCGGGCCAGCAGGGGGTCCAGGCAGCTGGGTGAATTGGATGTGGGCAAGGAGGTTGATCGGCACAGCGGTGGGGGGTGGGGGGGGGGGGATTACTGGAATTGTTCCCCTGTATGGCTCCCTCTGCAGCACCAGAAAACTGTCTTCTTCTCCCCTCCTTCCCACTGATTTTCAGTTGCTGCAGTGAGAGCTATACAGGGGTTCAGTTCCAGTAATTTCCCCTCCACCACGCCCATCACCCTCCCTTTGCACCATACATTTCCCCTGATGAACAGGCCCCGGTGTGTCTCCAACCCCTCAGAGCTGCCAGCTTCCCTCCTTACTTTACCACAAGTAGCTTCAAGCACACAACAGGATCCTTCAGGATGGAGAGTGGAGGAAGGGTTTGGTAAATATGTCCCTTCCTTTCCTAAATGATCACAATGAGTGATCGGCACCAATCACTTATTGTGCTCATTCATAACTGAAGCATAGTAAACTGTAATATCTAAAAAAAACCTGCACAATGGATGGAAAAAAATCTAGAGGCTGCTGTTAGCAATAAACACTAAAAAGTGTGTGCCAGTTGGACAATGAATGTGCTGCGGCGCTACCACTCTTGTGCTGTGGGAATCTGATAGTGATATATACCGTATTTTTTGCTCTATAAGACGCACTTTTTTCCCCCAAAAAAATGGGGCGACTATGGAGCGGCTGGCACGGTATTCCTGCCGCCGCCGTGTTAGAATACCGGTGCCGGTCGCTCGGCTCTCCTGTGCAGCAGAACCTGCTCCTCAGTCCTACCAGTTCCTCAGTCCAGCGGTGTCCTCACTGTCTTCTCTCCCTGGCGATGGCATCTTTAGTGTGGGCACTTGCGGCTTCACAGCCTGGTGCCCACTGTGCATGCGTGAGAAGCGCTGCACTTTATGAATGGTATGGCAGTCTTCTGGGACCTGTCATGTGTCCCAGAAGACGGGGAGGGAGGACAACTCTGCAGAAGTGGGAGCCGGTACCTGTCAAATTCGGGTACCCGCTCCCCCCCTTCCGCTTCTCAGAGGTCCACAGTCTCTGGTCATCTCCTGTACTGTGTCCGCAGTCTCTGGTCATCTCCTGTACTATGTCTGCAGTCTCTGGTCATCTCCTGTACTATGTCCGCAGTCTCTGGTCATCTCCTGTACTGTGTCCTGTACTATGTCCAGTCTCTGGTCATTTCCTGTACTATGTCTGCAGTCTCTGGTCATCTCCTGTACTATGTCCGCAGTCTCTGGTCATCTCCTGTACTGTGTCCACAGTCTCTGGTCATCTCCTGTACTATGTCTGCAGTCTCTGGTCATCTCCTGTACTATGTCTGCAGTCTCTGGTCATCTCCTGTACTATGTCTGCAGTCTCTGGTCATCTCCTGTACTATGTCCGCAGTCTCTGGTCATCTCCTGTACTGTGTCCGCAGTCTCTGGTCATCTCCTGTACTATGTCTGCAGTCTCTGGTCATCTCCTGTACTATGTCTGAGGTCTCTGGTCATCTCTTGTAGTACATCTGCAGTCTCTGGTCATCTCCTGTACTATGTCCGCATTCTCTGGTCATCTCCTGTACTATGTCCGCAGTCTCTGGTCATCTCCTGCACTGTGTCCGCAGTCTCTGGTCATCTCCTGCACTGTGTCCGCAGTCTCTGGTCATCTCCTGTACTATGTCCGCATTCTCTGGTCATCTCCTGTACCGTGTCCGCATTCTCTGGTCATCTCTTGCAGTACATCTGCAGTCTCTGGTCATTTCCTGTACTATGTCTGCAGAATATTTTTTTTCTTGTTTTCCTCCTCTAAAAACCTTATGGTCAGGTGTGTCTTATGGAGCGAAAAATATGGTAGTTCCTTGATCACTTTCTCTAGCTTCAAACTGAAGATCTGTAGCTCTGTACAGACCTGGGGCTGGAAGAGCCTGTGCATAGCGCCCACAATTGCAGTTGAAATGCTTTTACAGCTTCCAATGTTAAAAATATAATAAATGCATATTTCTTTATTCCTTTGTAATATATAATATGGGTGCTTTTATTTCTTTAAAAGGTGAAGTATTCCTTTAAAACTAAGTGAGTAAAATTCTAGGGTAGGCATAGAAATGAAAGTCAGTAGTGTGACTTTATACATTGTGAAATGTGCACTAATACACTGATACCAATGATATATAAAGCCTAATTAGTGGAGTTAGTAGTGTGGAAGTGTTATGATATGTATGAATCAAGGTCACTATAGAGGAAATAATAGACCTGTCAGAACAGTCCTGTGTTATCTCTCAGGTGCAGGGCCCATGTTTCATTCCATGTCTCAGGGAGGAGTTATCAGAAGGCGTCCAGGCTGAGAACTCTTCTCCCACTTCCTAGGAGGTGTTGATGGTATTGGGAGTGATAATGCTGGTTACTCAACCTTGCTCTTCCAGAATTTCCTTTTGTGTTTCCCTCCTGACATTAGGAAAGGTCTTTGATGAGTCGTGTTTGCATGGAAACAAAGCACATTTGCAACCAAAACAGGCTGGATTTGTGAAGGCTCTTGAAGTTAGACACCCTCTTAATTAATAACAATAGACGCGAGGCAAGTTGGGGCGTGTCTGGGGTTTCGCCTAGATTGTTACATTCATTTAAAATAGGAAGATGGTCAGTTTTTAAAAGATCTGCACTAGAACACAAACTGTACATCTGAAGCCAAAACTTTTTTTATTTTGGATAGAGTAGGGAGTGGTTAATGCGGTATTAAACCAAAAAATGTAATATATTGCAGATTACCAATCATTAGATGTGGTGGCTGCATTCATTTTTTTAAGGCTTTTTTCCTTCAGTGTAAGAATGCCGGCTACAAGTTGCTGATTGTCGCCATTATTAATATATTAAAAAAAATGTTTAAGTATATATACCGCCATTAGTAGACACTATAACTTTCACGTAAACCAATTAATGTACACGGATTGGGATTTTTATTTAGCAAAGACATGTAGCAGAATTCCTTTTTGTCTAAATTTATGATGAAATTAGATTTTTTTTACTGGCTATGTTTAATATCTAAAAGTCAAAAATGTTTTTTTGTCATAATTGGTGGTCTTTTTTTTTTATAGCGCAAAAAATAAAAAATGCACAGGTGATCAAATGCCACCGAAAGAAAGCTCTATTTGTGGGAAAAAAAGGACGTAAATTTAATTTGAGTGCAGTGTTGCATGACCGCGCAATTGTCAGTTAAAGTAAGGCACCGCCGCATCACAAAAAATGGCCTGGTCAGGAAGGGGATGTAAATCGTCTAGAGGGCAAGTGGTTAAGAATTCTGGGTCAGGCATTTTTTACATAGTGACACCGGTCCAACTTGGACCAAGATGGACCAAAATAAAAGTATGGCTTTTTTTTTTCAATCATACTTGCTTGGTTGGATGCAGCATCAATCCAAGTGTGAGCATTTGCATCATCATCCATTCATCAGTAAACGCAGGTACGGATGGATGTTTCATTGCGGATATATTCTAAGATTAGGATGGGATTTACTTAAATAGGTTTTTTTGTCCCCATGGGATTGCTTTCTGAGGATATATACATGTATATCCTATTTATATATATATATATATATATATATATATACAGTCAGGTCCATAAATATTGGGACATCGACACAATTCTAACATTTTTGGCTCTATACACCACCACAATGGATTTGAAATGAAACAAACAAGATGTGCTTTAACTGCAGACTGTCAGCTTTAATTTGAGGGTATTTACATCCAAATCAGGTGAACAGTGTAGGAATTACAACAGTTTGCATATGTGCCTCTCACTTGTTAAGGGACCAAAAGTAATGGGACAATTGGCTTCTCAGCTGTTCCATGGCCAGGTGTGTGTGTTATTCCCTCATTATCCCAATTACAATGAGCAGATAAAAGGTCTAGAGTTCATTTCAAGTGTGCTGTTTGCATTTGGAATCTGTTGCTGTCAACTCTCAAGATCAGAGAGATAGCCAAGGCGTGGAGTTTGAGCTACACTATCAGAAGTGGAATGTTAGCAAGCCATCATACCTAGGCTGCTGAAAAAAAAACAAAAACAAACCCACAGTTCAGAGAGATCAGCAGGGATAAACCCAGTGTCTGGGCGTGGCCAAAACAACTGTTTGGAGCTACAACCAAGTATTCGGGAATACCGCCAAGGAGGTTAAGTTGGAAAGATGTGGAATGTTATGCAATGGCCAAGTCAATCACCTGACCTGAATCCGAGTTTGAGCATGCATTTCACTTGCTGAAGACAAAACTGAAGGGAAAATGTCTTTTCTGTGCCAAGCATTATCAGTTTTATTCAACCCCCCAAGAACAAGCAGGAACTGAAGACAGTTGCAGCAGAGGCCTGGCAGATGCATCACCAGGGATGATTTAAAACCCAGTGTCTGGTGATGTCTATTGTGTTCCAAGTCTCCCAACTTCAGGCTGTAATTGACTGCAAAGGCACATATGCAAGCCCCAAGCATGATTGACCCTCCACCAAGCTTCAAGTAGGCAAGTTTAGTTTGATTTAGGCCTTGATTATCCATATTCTGTCCCACTTTTGTGGTTTGTCCACATGGCTTTTACTTTTTGGACTCCCTTAACAAGTGGGAGGCACATATGCAAACTGTTGTAATTCCACACACCGTTCACCTGATTTGGATGTAAATACCTTCAAATTCAAAATCTGACGAATGATGTCTGCAGTTAAAGCACATCTTGTTCATTTTTCATTTCAAATCCATTGTGGGTTGTGTTGTAGAGCCAAAAATGTCATTTTAAAGAATTGTGTCAATGTCCTGAATATTTATGGACCTGTATGACTGTTATATGCTTTTTATGGATTTCTTCTATACTTTCCACGTTTTATGTGATTTGTAGGTCCTTATTTATGATTTATAATATTTATTCTATATGGTATCACTCATGCGATGTCTGCATTCATGTTAACATTCTTATTTATGATGGCATGTCACTCATGCGATGTCTGCATTCATGTTAAGATGATGGCATGTAAGAATGTGATGCCAGTCCCCGCCTCTGGTAAAACCAGGGACGGCCCACATGTGTTTCTAGAATCTGCATTAGCTAACATATATAAGAGAGGTACAGACTGATTGCTTGGTGGCTCTGAGGAAGAGGTTGAGACCTCGAAACGCGTTGGCTTGTTGGATGTCCAGGGTTCCATTTTGTTGGACTTATATGCAATGTGGATTGGACACAGCTGTTTAGTGTGATGTGCTTTTGACCTGTTTGCCTATTGTGAGTACAATACTTACTTTTTATCCCTCCAATACATTTTCTACGATAATGCACTAGGCAGGTGCACCCTCTGTTTGTTTTTCTTTGTATCCAGTGACATTGGACTATCCCGGTCCATCGAGGGCAGCAAGGAGTGCATTTTCCAGGATATCTGTGATGTTACCATAACCCTAGCCAAGTCCATCCCGAAGCGCAGCAGTACATAGTTTGCTGTGTTTTTTTGCATCTGTCCCCCACTGGCTCTAAGGGTTGAGAACTGAGCAATCAAAGACCATTGATCATTCAGTTTTCCTTGCCGCTCTGAGCAGAGAGTGGTGACTTTCAGTCTCTCACTGGAGTGTTGGGCTATGAAGGGGGCGAGAGGGTCTGGCTCTGGCTCTCAGCGACTTGCTGAGAGGCTGAGCCAGGTGCCGGTCCAGGCTCCTGGGTGTATTCCGACCATGTGGTCTGGATCTTTCCCCAGCCTGGACCGGCTCTGTGATATCAGTCGACAGCAGGCTTCAGCCCACTGTCAGCTGAAAATGGGTGACAGAAGTGTAGAAGGAACTGCACTCTGTGATCCACAGAAGTACAGCCAAACGAGCTTTGGTTGTACTTTTCCTTATGTATATGTGTCCCTTACCTGTGGGATCCACTGGAAATGACCATTTATTTGCCTTGCCTGTGCGTTATGAACATATATAAGAGAGGTACAGACTCACTGCTTGGTGGCTCTGAGGAAGAGATTAAGACCTCGAAACGCGTTAGTTTGTTGGGAAGTCCAGGGTTCCATTTTGTTGGACTTATATGCAATGTGGATTGGACACAGCTGTTTAGTGTGATGTGCCTTTGACCTGTTTGCCTATTGTGAGTACAATACTTACTTTTTATCCTTCCAATACATTTTCTACGATAATGCACTAGGCTGGTATGCCCTCTTTTTGTTTTTCTTTGTATCCAGTGACATTGGACTATCCCGGTCCGTTTAGGGGAGCAAGGAGTGCATTTTCCAGGATATCTGTGATGTTACCATAACCCTAGCCGAGTCCATCCCGAAGCACAGGAGTAGAGTTTGTTGTGTTTTTTGCATCTGTCCCCTACTGGCTCTAAGGGTGAGAACTCAGCAATCAACACCATTGATCATTCAGCTTTCCTTGCTGCTCTGAGCAGAGAGCGGTGACTTTCTCGCTGGAGCTTTGGGCTATGGAAGGGCGTCAGGGGCTGGCTCAGCGGCTCACTGAGAGAGGCTAAGCCAGGTGCCAGTCCAGGCTCCTGGGTGGATTCCGACCATGTGGTCTGGATCTTTCCCCGGCTCTGTGACATCAGCCAACAGCAGGCTTCAGCCCACAGTCAGCTGCAAATGTGTGACAAGAGTGTAGAAGGAACTGCTCTCTGTGATCCAAAGAAGTACAGCCAAACGAGCTTTGGCTGTACTTCTCCTTTTGTATATGTGTCCCTCATCTGTGGGATCCACTGGAAATGACCATCTAATTGCCTTGCCTGTGTGTTGGGACTGCTTTGGGAAAGGCAGCCCTAATCATAATGTGTGAACGGATCTGGAGGTGTTCTACCAAATGGAAATGCTCACATTCTGTTCCTTATCTCCGGGGGTCTGTGTATGAGTGTATTCAGTTCATACAATGCTGAGGATTTTGTAACATGAAAAATCTTAAATGGGAACAATGGATACTTTGTGAGCTCGGTGCACACTGTCCCCAGTGCTCGTTTTTTGGCTTTCTGTCTGCTGATTTATTTGGGGAATGTGCTTAGGGTAGACTTTTCAAAACAATTTGTGCTGTACCATGAAGACTTGCATGATGCTGCCAGCAGGGCTCCTTCTGAGTCAATGTCATCAAAATGTTTCCTGAGCACTCCCGTGTAGTCAGCAAATACAAGGACTCTCCCTGGGAGTGAGGTGTGCCTGCCACCCCCTTCTATCACCTATGAATATGGAAACCTAAATATAGCTAAAGCCAAAACTTTATTTTTAGATTTGAATAGAGTGGTGAGGGATTAGAACACCGGTCTGGTTTTATTTCTGCCTGTGTGTTTGTTAGTGGCATCCTTACATCCTTGATATCCTCATTTTCTGAAAATGATCCATGTACATGTACTACCTAATGGCTCCGTAAACTATTTTTCAGGAAATAGTTTCTTGCTGTGTTTTTATATCTCCTTGTAAGATCATTTGAGAGCTCCCAGATCTCTCCTTTTTCCCCCTCCCTGCCATTTGTTTGGAACAGGCAGTGCATGCTAGATGTGGTCATGTCAGAGGCATCTAACTAGAACCTTTACCCCGGGTTCACATATATGCGGCTGTGCGGGTCGCGTTTTGCACGGGCACGAGAACCCATTCATTTGAATGGACTCCCATGCCAGTGACACGCAGGGAAGAAGTCCCTGCACTTCTTTGGAAAACGCAGCCCGCACGGGAACCTCGGTTCCCAGTATGGTTGTGTTTTCCAGTGCAGGCGGCGTGCCATTAGAACTAATGGCCCCGCCCGCGGGTCCGCATTTCTCTGTGCGGGTGGTCGGCTGCACAGATTTTTATGTGGATCCGCAGCGGCACCACCCGCACAGACGTGAACCTCGGGTCAGGACAAGAAACAATGACCTCTGGCCAGAGCCCTTCCCTCTGGTTTCCGGGGCCCTTCACACTCATCCCAGGGCCCTTTACTATGCTCTCACAGTGAAAACCCTTCACATGTCCTGCAGTGGGCCCCCTTCCTGCCTTCTTACCCCCCCCCCCCCACAGTAGTAGAAAGACAGGGCTCGGTTGCAAGTGTGACTTTTGTGACCATAGTAGTTGTGCCACTGGTGTCAGTAGTTTTTACTAGTTTAGGGAAGCTGATGGTGAGAGGTGAGCCGCTGCCATGCTAGCACAGTGGCTCACCTCTCACCACTAGCTTCCCTGCCAAACTCTGCTATTCCAGTTGCTTACCTGCCGAACTTTGTAGCCTTCCATGGTCCCAGTGGATCCTTCTCTGAACATGATGACAAGCTTTATCTTCCCTTACACAGAGTGCGTGCATTTTGTTATTAACCCCTTGCTTCCCATTAAACTTCTACACTTAGATGGTTGCGCTTTTCTGGTTTGTTTTTATTGTTTGTACATTAGGTGGCTCAACACCTTTTCATGTGGAGCTGCAACCACCAATCTAGTTTTTTTTTATTTTAACCACTCATTTTTTTTTTAGCATTAAAGGGCACCTGTCAGCGCAGTAGTTTTTCTTTAATCCTTTAATGTAAAGCACACTGCACCTGTATAAAGCAACACACACTACAAAGTGGAATCCAGTAGATTTCAATGCACACTTTGAGTTACATTCACACTACAAGGTGGAATTATGGAGTTTTCTGCTGGTTGTGCGTTATACTCACATTACAAGGTGGAATTGTGGAGTTTTCTGCTTGTTGTGCATTTATACTCACATTACAAGGCGGAATCATGTGGAATTTTTCTGCTGGTTGTGCGTTATACTCACATTACAAAGCAGAATCGTGGAGTTTTCTGCTGGTTGTGCGTTATACTCATTACAAGGCAGAATTGTGTGGAGTTTTCTGCTTGTTGTAAGTTACACTCACACTCCAAAGTGGAATCATGTGGAGTTTTCTGCTGTGTGTAAGTTATACTCACATTACAAGGCGGAATCATGTAGAGTTTTCTGCTGGTTCTGCATTATACTCACACTACAAAGCAGAATCATGTGGAGTTTTCTGCTTGTTGTGCGTTTATACTCACAAGGCGGAATCATGCAGAGTTTTCTGCTGGTTGTAAGTTATACTCACATTACAGTTTCTGATGGTTGTAATGTGTGTATACTACATTACTGCAGAAAACTTCTGCATGAGAGGAATCATCATGCAGAGTTTTCTGCTGGTTGTGCGTTATACTCACATTACAAGGCGGAATCATGCAGAGTTTTCTGCTGGTTGTGCGTTATACATCATTACAAGGCGGAATCATGCAGAGTTTTCTGCATGCAGAGTTTTCTGCTGGTTTTGCATTATACTCACCACGGATTACAGAGGCGGAATCATGCAGAGTTTTCTGCTGGTTGTGCGTTATACTCACATTACAAGGCGGAATCATGCGGAGTTTTCTGCTGGTTGTGCGTTATACCCACATTACAAGGTGGAATCATGCGGAGTTTTCTGCTGGTTGTGCGTTATACTCACATTACAAGGCGGAATCATGCGGAGTTTTCTGCTGGTTGTGCGTTATACCCACATTACAAGGCGGAATCATGCGGAGTTTTCTGCTGGTTGTGCGTTATACTCACATTACAAGGTGGAATCATGTGGAGTTCCAGTCACACTGTAAAAACATAAAAGTCAGCAGCTACAAAAACTGTAGCTGCTGACTTTTAAAAAACAGCCACTCACCTGTCCCGCGATCCCGCGGTGTCCTCCACTAAGCCCGTTTCACCGGCTGGCTGTTGTAACTGGCACCAGCATCTTCAATGTGCGCACCCGGCTGTGACTGCTTGAGACTTCACAGCCGGGTGCCCACTGCGCATGCGTGAGTAGCGCTGCGCTTTCTGAATTGTCCCATATTTTTCTGGGACCTGTCACTTGTCCCAGAAGACTATGGGGAGGGAGGGGTGGAGGACAACTTCAGCTTCCAATCGCCTAGGCAATCGCAGCAGAAGTGAGTGGATACCTGTCAATTTCGGGTACCCGCTCCCCCACTCCCCAAAGGTGCCAATCCTTAACCTCCCTAGTGGTCTGATTATGTCAATATTTCTGTGCTCAAAGTGGTACATTTTTTTTGCATGGAAATATGTTGGGTGGTTTTTTTGTAGGCCTGTAATGTTAGGAATAACTCACTGAAATCTGTCCAAACAAGAGTCTAGTAAACATCCCGGGTAGGATAAAATTTGAAACACAAAATCATTAATTATAAATATAATAAATAAATCATAAAAAAATAATAGAATAATAAATTTAATTCAATAATAAAATCAAACCAAAAACACTGACGCTCGCAGGGGAACCCGGAAGACGGATGCCGGCATCGGCTGGAGGAGATGGCTGGGGACGCTGCAGGGGGGACATCGCGGGAGCAAAGGACAAAGCAAGTTCAAGAGAGGAATCCCTGAGCAATGCTGCAGGGTAATCCCGAGTGTAGCTCGGAGTTACAGCTTTTGGTACTGAAAGTTATCCTCGAGCTACACTCAGGAATACCTCCAGGGAGGTTAATAGGGAGCGGGGGGCCAGTCTTTGAAATGGAACTTCCCCTTTTGAGTGGAGCTTCGCTTTAAGGTATTAGTGTGTTCATTGTAGACTGTGAGCTGAATTGATACCCCAGGTGCACTGACAGATCCCCCTGCATCCAGCTCTCTTCTCTTGATTCAAAGCCCTGCACAGCTATATTGTATATGTGTACTAGAACTCCCAGCGTTCTTGTGTCTTTTATGGATGGTTCTTTTTTTCTTTCTTAATTTTTTTTCATGAATGAAGAGGAGTTTTTTAAGCATTTTTACATATGCATTTCACTAAAAAAAAAAGAGCCTGAAAAGCTCAAGAAAACTGCTTCCCTGTGTATGTGAATGTATATCTATGTATGTTTTCACACTGACGTGTTGCGCTTGCGGTGCGGTGTAAAAGCTCTTGCTTGCAGCATCTTTGGGGCATGTTTGGGGAGTTTTAAAAAAAACACCCCAAAAACGCCTCTTCTTCCCATTGAAATCAATGGAAAATGCCTGAAAAGCGCCTTAAAAACACCTCTGAGAAGCGTTTTTGGAGCAGGTTTTAAGTCACACGTCCTTTATAAAACGCCCAGAAAGCACAGTAAAAGCACTGTAAAAATGCCTATGCGTTGCACTGACCAGGAACCTATGATCAGCTCCCATTCCTGTATACATCCACTGGCTACACAGGAACAGAAGTAAAGTCGCTAGCCCTCAGTAAATACACCCACTGGCTGCTCTTAGGGAGAGGGATTAAAGTCATGTGACAGGCACTGGATACTGCAAAATAAAGATATAAAACTGTGATTTTTTTTTTTCTTTGGGGCATTTTTTTTTGAGACATAAGGCTGAACTTAGCTTACATTAGGAATTGCATGGGAGGATTAAGTATTAGCTTTCCTTCCATTTTAATATTCACGGATGAGAACTGTAACATTGCAAATAATGGTATAGAACTCTCTGTGCACATTAGGTGTTTAAGGCGTGTTGAAACAATCCTAAAGAGCCTTGGGCAAGAATGACCTATAGGGTGGCCATAAGGCACCAAAATCTGTCCTTGACTTGCCTGGACTGGACTCTTTGGACAATAAAGCATGTTCCTAACAGTTGGTATAACACATCGCATGTGATCCTACTTCTGTCCATTGGTGAAGTCAGAAGACATATGGCAGTGGGTAATAAAATAAGGACTGGCAGTTGTTTTCCTACCTGTCAACTTTGATAAGATATCTGCTTTTCTACAGGTCACCATTAGCCCCACTGAGATTTACACCAATGATAACCAAAGGTCCAATTTGTCAAAGGCTGGCCATAAAAGCAAGCAATGTGCTTGCACAATGAAACATGCATGTGGCCATTTCAAGCATCAACTGTGGAGGTGTGCTAAGAACCACTTTTGATCATCAGAAGGAAGCATTATTGCACAAAGAGATTGGAAATTCATAGCTAAGTGTGTGCTTTTCCATGGAGAAAGGAACAGATCATTTGCCATGCAGGAATTGCATTCAAACATTAACTATATTGGGAGGGGGAGTGCAGTAAGACTTATTGATATTCATATCATTTTAGGTCTACCAGATGTCTCATCATCTGTTGTCCTTGGTGAGATTTATCTGTGTATCCACAAGCTTGGCCCACCTAGAGGGCAAAATCAGAAAAGGTGATTTTGCTATAGAGAAGAGAACAGAATAAAACATTGTCTTAATATTAAGGCCATCATACCACTACTGTTCCACTGAGGCATTGACAAGGATTCAGGTTTTGGTGTGGTACTTGGAACATAAGTGGTCACCCTTCCAAATGCATTATGTTGACTGGCAACTGAAGCACGGAATATAATGCTACTGTTGGTAATTTTTTTTTTTTTTTTCATTTTGGGGCTATTGACCTGCTACAGCATGCTGAGGAGAGGGATTGCCTACACACAGATTATAGTCCCTTTAACTCTTCTATATGTGTATGACTTTTAGGGCTTGTGTCAATGGGCTTTAGTTCACATTAGACATGTTTTGCATTCCTGCTGAAACCTATGGGGATGCAAATACTGCTTGAAGTAAGCCAGAAGAAGGTCAAATGCAGGTAAAATGCACCTGTAAATTAATTCTGAATCAAAAGAATCGCAAATTGATATCAAACTGATGCCATCAGCACTACCCCAAAGACCGTCAACACAGGCCCTTAGAGTTACTGGTATCCACAAATGTACTAAAGTTGTAGGAGCGTGGACTTCATACTCCTCTGGAAGTGGTACTCATATTACAACTTTGCAAATCAACTGGCCAAGTA